TCCCCCCCTCCAAAAAAGAGCGTCATGTTGATGGACCAATAGGCTTACCTCGCCAATAGAAGCGTTCTCGGGGACTTTGAAGGGCGGCGTGGAGGAGGAGATGTTGAGCTGTGGGTCAAACTCGTTCACATCTTCCACGGTGATCACAAGCTGGGCAGTGTCCGTGGAGTGTCCGTCAGTGACCGTTACCTCTGTGTAGCGAGATGAGATGAGATGAGATGAGATGAGGTGAGGTGAGATAAGATAAGATAAGATAAGATAAGATCAGATCAGATAAAATCAGATCAGATAAAATCATATCAGATAAGATAAAATAAGATAAGATAAGATAACAACCAGAGCAGTGTCCGTCAGTGACAGTTACCTCTGTGTGTCATGATGAGATGAGATGAGATGAAGTGAGATGAGATGAGATGAAGTGAGATGAGATGAGATGAGATGAGATGAGATGAGATGAGATGAGATGAGATGAAGTGAGATGAAGTGAGATGAAGTGAAGTGAGATGAAGTGAAGTGAGATGAAGTGAAGTGAGATGAGATGAGATGAGATGAAGTGAGATGAGATGAAGTGAGATGAGATGAGATGAGATGAGATGAGATGAAGTGAGATGAGATGAGATGAGGTGGGGTGAGGCAAGATGAGGTGAGGAGAGATGAGATGAGATTAGATAAGATAAGATACACTAAGATAAGATAAAATAAGATAAGATACAGTAAGATAAGATCAAATAAGATACACTAAGATAAGATAAATGAGCCAGTCTACCCGAGGTGATCATGTATAATATTATGTGTTACTGACTGGATTTGTCTTTAGGACATTCCCAAAGGGGGGGGGGAGGGGATATTAACATGTTCTTATGCACTGTAGAATTGTAAATGGGCTGATTCTTCAATGTCATGCTCATACTGTGCCAGAACAACATAGGGGGAACTGCTGCTTTTTCTTTCCTCATCCTTACTATCGTCATTTTCCTCTACTTCTTTTGTATGTTTGTCACTCTCTTGTGACCTGCTATTTCTGGGGGGTTTTGATAGTGGAAGCAGACTTTGTGCTGTTGAAGCTAGAGAGGTGAGCAGCGTAAGTCTGATTCCCTGTAAGAACTCCTCAGTTGACATCCACCCCTTGGCACTCATATGACCTTATGCAGTTGCGTCGTTAAACCTTACTAAAACTAACTGTTCCTACACGTAACACAAGCTGTCTTAGTAAGAGTCTTACGGCACTTGCAACACAATAAAGTCATATACGTACCGAAGATTAGAGGTGTTACAAGAGAGTAACAAACACAAAAAAGAAG